GCTCTGACACTGGATAGCTTTCAGCTTCAGATAAAGGCATTTCTCTCTTACCAGGCCTTTGAGACACAGCAGCAAGCCATTTTTTAGTGTTGTCAAATGAATGGGGATGTATATTGAATTCTAAATGCAGTATTCTATAGCTCTGTAAGTAGTTTTTGGATTGTTTTATGTATCTTAGTTGCAACTGGTCCTGAGGCCATGTAACAAAGCACAGGATATATTTTTTATGGCTGAGTGAGTAAGCAAATAAGTAATGAGAGGGCAGGAACTGGAGGTTCCAACTACTTTCCAGTAGCCCATATGAAGAACCAAAAGCAAAGGAGATTGTAGCAAACCTCCAGACTTTATTATCATTTTTAAAAATGGCAGAGGAAATTAGGGCACTGATTCCAGAGTCTTTGTTTTTGTTGTTAAGGTGGTATGTTCAATAAAGATTTGCCTATCAGTCTTCCACAGGAAGCAGATATCTATATAGTTTCTATATAGTCTTTGTGGAATACTGTTTCTCCGCTGCATTCTTATTGGCAGCCTGAAGATCTGCCCACTAAGCACCCAGCATTAACTAGGTCCTTCCTAACATATTACTTGGGAACCACTGAGCTAAGAGCCTCCAGCTCTTCATTGCCATTAGGTGTGGGTGGCTACCATCCAGCCCTCAGTTCACCACCTTCACCCTATAAATAGGGACAGGCAGCTGGTGTACCCACTGCTGGGGATGCACTACACAGGGTAGACGTGGAGCCTTTGAGCTCTAGATGCAACCCTGGCCAGCCCCATCTCTTCTCCATCATCCAGCTCACACTGGTACCTTGCATCCCCCAGGCCAGGCAGGCTGCTCCCTGCATCCTCTTCTTCGATGAGCTGGATTCCATCGCCAAGTCCCGTGGTGGCGGTGCAGGAGACGGCGGAGGTGCAGCTGACCGTGTCATCAACCAGATCCTCACAGAGATGGATGGCATGACCAACAAGAAGACAGTTTTCATCATAGGTGCCACCAACAGGTAAAGATGGTGGGGAAGGGAGGGTACAGTTGGGTGGCCAAGTCATGCATAAGAACTGTGCTGGGGTCTCCTCTCAAAGAAAGCTGCTCTGTTGACATATGATCAACACCAGACTGTTTGTCCCAGTGCAAACTCAGCCACTTGGCCCCCAAATTCTATTCCGTTTTACCCTCATTGGGAGGGAATGCAAGGAGGCCTTTTTTTGGAAAAGAGTTAAATCAGAAGCAGGTCATTAGAGGTGAGTCCTTAGGGCAGTGGGGAGGGACCTCTTGACTGGATCTCAATCTCAAGGCTTCCAAATGCGGACTGCAGTTATATCTCCAGGCACACAGTCTTCCTCAGGCCATGTCACTACCTGATGACACTCCAAGTAGTGTCTCTGTCTCTCACTAAGGAATGAGAGGCTTCATTTCCCTGCTTCATGCTGAGAAAGGGAACCCTCTTTTCAGGTTGGCATGGGAGGTATTCACTTAAACTGTTGTTCCTTGATTCGCTGATGGCAGGGACATGTGGCTTGAAGTTTTGTATAGCCTCTGCTCACTCAAGCTTCATTTTAGTTTTCACCCAAGTCAGACATTTTTTCCTTATCGCTTCCTCTTATAGTTTTCCTTATCTCTTCTGCTTTTCTGCCTTTGTGATCAGGTTTATTTTTAGTATTTTGCCTGCCCTTGTGTCAATTCACCCTTCCACACAGGCTGCATGAGTTAATCCTACACTCCTTTTAACCTCACCCTCAACACCCAAGAGAGTGTACCTGGCATAAACTGGATGCTAGAAAGGCATGGAAAACTTAAATTCAGAGGATGGAGACCTGTAGAAACCCCAACAGTCTTTTGTCTTGTTCCATCCAACTTCACTAGGTGAGAATGGGTCCCACCAATGCCCAGTAGATCAAAGCCTACATCTGTGCTTTGCTTTAAGCTTGGTTACTGATGAAACTAAGAGCTTGAGTGAGGAGAGCCAGGTGTCGCTGCCTTGGGGGAATCAAGAAACACAGTTCTCTAAGGGGATGGCTATTCCCGTTGACCATAGTGAATCCATATTCCTTTTTCAGCCCACAGCAGGGAAGCTAAGCGAGGAAACCTTTAACAAGAGTGATTGTTGGTATGCAGACCCTGACTGCTTTGCTCCAAAGGAATGTGTATCTCTGGGTGAAAAATATTCCCTTTCCCTGCTTTGACACCTGTGAATGGATACCCCCGTCTGTGCTGTTGCTGAGCTGAGCTGAGATTATCTAGTGCCTTATCTAGGGTGAAGCAGCCAATATACCTTGAATATATTCTCTGTCTCTTTGGCCTCCAGACCAGACATCATTGACCCAGCCATCCTTCGTCCAGGACGCCTGGATCAGCTCATCTACATCCCCTTGCCTGATGACAAGTCTCGCATAGCTATTCTCCAAGCCAACTTGCGAAAGTCACCTATCGCCAAGGTCAGTGAAAGCCAGGACTGAACACAGGGGAAGGGAGGTGAAACAGCATGGGAAGTAGATAGTAGAAATGGGGATAGGATTCTGAGACCACATCCTGGCCTCCACCACCACAGTCTTCCAACAGAGGAGGATGTATTGCATGAAAGGTATGTTTATCTTCTTCAAACAGGGAATGTTTTTTCTGTGTTGGCAGGACCTTTCCAATAAGCTCATGTTATCTTTCTCCAACAGGATGTGGATTTGAATTACTTGGCCAAGATCACACATGGCTTCTCAGGTGCTGACCTCACTGAAATATGCCAGCGTGCCTGCAAACTGGCCATCCGTGAGGCCATCGAGATGGAGATCAAGGCAGAACGGGAGCGTCAGCGTCATAAATGTGCCGCCATGGTATGGTAGCGAGACTTCCCCACATCCCAACAGGGCCAGGCAAGATTCCTTCCATTGCCTCATGCCCTGTTCTTCCCCTCAGTAACATATTCTGCATATTATTCTGGGAACTTTATGGCCACCCCCCATCGTGGGGCCACAGTGTCCTCGATTGCATTGATCTCACAGGGCTTTGGAGCTTGTAAGGATGCAGCTCAACAACATTTCCCCCCCTGCCCTTTTGTGATAGGATGACGATTATGACCCCGTGCCAGAGATCCGACGCGATCACTTTGAGGAAGCAATGCGCTTTGCACGCCGCTCTGTCAGTGATAATGACATACGCAAGTATGAGATGTTTGCCCAAACATTACAGCAAAGCCGTGGCTTTGGCAACTTCAGGTAATGTTGGAGAACTTTTTGCTTCCTCTGCCCCAAGCTAGAGTTTCACTTCAGTGCAGTGGACAGGGCCTGGGTGAAGAACTTGGCCCCACAGATGTTGTTTGACCAGAACTCCCATGGCTGGGATTAGTGAAGGCTGAAGTTCAACAACATTCCTAGGTTCCCCTTTCCTAGGATAGGGGGAAATTTGTTCTTTGAAACAAGGTACAGGAACCTCAGCTTGACTCTACTATGTAGCTTGACTCTCTACTATCTACCTTGTCACTCTGCTAACTTTTGTAAGTTGCTTTGGGTTGCCTTGGGCAGGATAAAGTGACTAACAAATTAAATAAATTAAATAATAACAGTACTATCAAGATTTCCGAGGGTTGCATTCCATCATCCCAACCAAATGAAAATAATACTTTTTATTTTAAGTGTATGACCCAGTGAGGGCTCTCAAGTTAGTTTAAGATGTTAAATTCCATATACAAAATAAAGGGTACCATTCAAAATAAGTGCAATAGAATTAAACACACACACACTAGCTAAAATAAACAAAAGACCATTCAAAAACAGCATTGCCCTGACCCAGCTATGGAGATCCACAGGCGGTACCTGCAGACTCTGAATTGCAGGTATAAATTAGATGTGCATTCAGATGCACATTAGAATTAGCACCTGAGTGAGGATACAGTCCCTCCATATTGCATTACTTTAAACGGGATGGGTTTTTATGTGCATTGGGATGTGCATCACATCCACATTATTTTAACACCTTGTTTATGTAGAGTACAACCAGATCAGTGCCCACATTCATAAAACAGAATAACTCAACTTTCTCTTGCATGAAACCAAGGCCATTCTTTATCTCCACAGGTTTCCATCTGGAAAGCAGAGCACCAGTGGAGAGGGAAACAGTGGAAGCAGCAGTGGCCAAGGAAGCCTCTTCCAAGAGGAGGGCGATGATGATCTTTACAACTGATTGTGCAGGAAATGCCTCCTTTTTGCTGGCATCATTTACCCTGTATTCTCATAGTTATTGTGCTCTTTAATGTCAGGGCTGGTGCTTGAGCCCCAACTCCTACCCTCATCCTTGTATGTGGAATCTGAGCTACCAGAGGCAAACTCCTCGTCCCTGATTTGGGGGCCAGATGCCTCTTTCAGTGTTTGTGCCTGTCTCGGCCACTACCAGGAACCTCATGGCACCGACAGCCCTTGCATTTGTTGGGTGTCCAAGGCAATACCCATGGAAGTCACCAGGGGGCAGCAAAAGCCTAAGCAGCTGCTGGATCAGAGGCAAAGGTCCATCTAGTCTGGCATTCTGTTTCCGCCAACCAGCCAGATGCCTCACAGGGTGCAAAGCTGCCCACTTATCCCTTGATCTCATCTCAAACTGTCCCAAGCTGGTGCCTGCACCTTGTAGCATATGTATTGATGGCTCCCACTTTTTTTAGAAACCAGGGAACAGGAGGATCCTTTTGCAAGCCGACCCAGCCTGCTCCCATTAGTCCTTTCTTATTCCACAGCAAAGACAGCTTTTGAAGTCTGCAGTTATGCATGAAGCCAATGAACTCCAGTTTGTGATACCAGTTGACAGAGATTTCTGGATGTCTTAATAAACTGAAAGTGCATGCCCCTTATACTGGGAGGAATTTTATAAAAACCTGAAGTGTAATGTCTTGTGTGTGCAGACTTCACATCTGCAGGGGCTGGAATGGCTTGGAGCAGCAAGCTCCAGAATTGAACAGGCAGGGCATGTTGGCAGACAGAGACCTATGATTCTGCTACTAATTCCCATCTATGCTGGGAAAACGTTAAACTTTCCCTTCTCCTGTTGTGCACATTTGCCACATTTCAGCCAGGTTTCCAGAGGCCCAATCACACATGCCCCATAGTCATCAAGTAGTTCTAGGAAGAGGCAAGGACAGGCAGAGCAGAGAAATCACAGAGTGGGAAAAGAGTAAACACACTATGAGATAAATGGAGAACTCTGCCTACCAGATTAGTAGGGCTGACAGAGCCAGCTGACAGCAGGAATGCTGGGATTTAGTCAGTGGCATGAAGACAATAAAGTGCAATAGGACAGAATGCTCCACAAAAATACTTTATTGTAGAATGGTCAGCGCCAATCAACAGCTCTCTCAGGCCAGAGCACCAGCAAGCAGTAGCCTAGATCCCCTGCCTGCATGATCCCTGCAGAACAAGCTTCTCAGGATTTTCCCACTGTCCCCTGAAAGTCCCCGGAGGACCATTATCCTAAGTCCAGAGCATAACAGCAGCTGGAGGCACCCCACTTATGGTCTGTTGGCTAGTCCCACCTACCTCTCCAGTACAGTAGACTACACTGCAGGGCCTTTGGCAGCCTCCCATCTAATTGGAATTCATGGTAAGCCAGATAGGCTTCCATCTGCCTGGTGCTCCGCCAACTCTTTCCTGTCTATGGAAGTAGCTCACTTATAAGTGCTCAGTTCCAGGAGGAGCTTCCTCGTTTCCCATTGAGGGTGGGAAGCTGTGTGGAAGAGCTTTTGGTTATCACATTTCCAACCCTCTCACCCCATTGAGCATCCCCATTTGCATGCAGGGGTTCCCTGGAATGACCAAGGTTATATCTAAATTAAATGCTGTCCTGAGTCATCATTACCCTGTGCCCTAGTTCTGCTCTCCTGTTTCAGGAAAGGACATTATGCAGGGATTATGTTTTTTCTTGGACAGATATGCTGCTGCCTCTGAGGAAGGGTGCCGATTTATGTATGTGTTCCTTTGCACGGCACTGAACTGCAGCAGCCTCTAGAGTGGGATGTGGAAAGAACATTGTGGGCCCAGAGTGTCCAGGTCACCGCAGATTAAACATAATGCTGTATATCAACTGCAGCTGGATAATAAAATGCCTAAACCAAATTATCCAAGAAAGGATGCCAAAGGTCTCCCCCTCTATTTTTATCATCGCAGAAGTTGTCTCCTTGCCTAGTAATGAATCCGCAAGCAAGCTTTATGCCCCTGAGAGGTTATCATTGAAATATGGAATGGGGGGGGGGCATTCATGGATGCCATTGTGCTCTGAAGCACTGACAACTCACCACTTTGGACTAGAACACTAATAACAAGTCAAGGTTTCCATTCATACCACATAGCTTGTACCAAGAAAGTGTTGGGTACACTCAGAACGCACTTAATCATGGCTTTCCTCCCTGTCATCAACAAAATTACCAGAACATATGAAGCTGTTTTATACTGAGTCAGACCATTGGTTCATCTAGCCTTGAGTACTGGAAACTCCTGGATCTGAGCCACTGTTCTTCAGCCCTGCAGAACGGGTGGTGCCAGGAACTGAACCCAAGACACTTTTGTAAACACTGCTGTGGGGCACACACACAAACACACACCCCGCCAAGAAAAGATGATCACAATTCCTTCACAAATCTCCAAAAAAAGATCCAGTGCCCCTTGTCCACCGTAAAGTCCCAACTAGGTAGGGAACTGGGCCCAGCAGCATGCTCTTCTCCACAATCTTGAATCCCATCGCTCTTTTGGCCGAGAGGGTAAACTGAGAATGCCATATCCGCTCCTTGCATACAGCACTACCATCCAAGGGCCCTGAATCCCAGGGGAGATAATTCTGCAAACAACAGAGAATGTGCAAAACGTGCTCCTTAGGGGGTCTTCAGAGTAGAGGTTCTCCTGCTTGCTCCCGCCAGCCCTATACTGCGCTCAGAGCTTTGGAAGGAGCTGGCTTCCCAGCGGTCAAAGCGGACTCCCTTGAAATAAGGGCGCCGAATAACTAGAGCAAGGAGCTTGCGTAGCACAGCACGCCGAAGCAGGATATATACCCAGGGGTCTAGGATCTGGTTCCAGGAGGCTAGTCGCACACCCAGGAATAGCAGCTCCTTATAATTAAGGTCTCCATGGGAGTTGGTCACTGACAAGATGACAAAGACCTGGGAACAGAAAGAGGCAAGAATAGCAGTTAAGAGGACAGTAATTCTGCCGCGGCCTTTTATCTTACTCTCTCAGTGATCCTAACGAAAATTGGAAACAGAGAAATAGGAACTATGCACACACCAAACTGTCAGTATAGTCATTGCACCATCCTCACTCAACCTGCCTACATTTGTTCCCTGATAAGAGCTTCCCAGTCTCCATAGACTCATTAAGGGGACAGCTGCTTAGTTTGCTGCCTGGACTTTAAGAGAAGAAAGGACCTACCAAATCTGCTTCATGGAGGCCCATGCACCATAATAGTTTGATTAGCTGATGCTTTGGCCTCCTGGTGGTATTGACCTCCAGAAATCTTCCAATTATAATTTCCCCCAGGAAGGCACCTCTGTGGATCACAGTCACATTACATCAGTGCAAACATCAGTGCCGTTAGAACTTTGGTGAAGGGCTATAGCTTTAGATGTGAAAGGTTCCAAGCTCAACCATCTTTAAATAGGGCTGGAAAAGTCCCCTGTCCAACACGCCACTGCCATGCAGTTTGGGCAAACTAAATCCCGTTCCTCATCAAGGCGCTGCACACCCCCCACAAGATTCTATCCACCCATGCTGGAGACTTCACTGATGCTCACCAGCACACGAAAGTCCTACTTTCATTCTATTGCTGCTACTCCTCCCTCCCAGCTGCCTCTTAGACATTCCAGCATTTAAGATGGTCCCAATGGTCCACCTAGATCAGGATCCTGTTCTCACAACGACAAGTCGGATGCAAAAGCAGGACTATGATTTCCACTAATCTCCCCTCCCACCCCACCCCACTCACCAGTAAGGGGCTCCAGCAGATGCAGGAAACCACCATGATCCCCACCAGCTGCACAACCATCTCAATGTCATGGGCTTTGGCCCGCCGGTGCCCACACTTGCGCTGACTGCGGAGCCGAGCCCGCACCAGGTTGAGTCCACTGAAGGTGTTGCAGAAGAGGGAGGCCACCAGCGAGGCCAAGCCCAGTGTGGAGAAGAGCAGGGCAAAGCCCACGTCAGGCCAAGCTTCTGCCTCTCGCACCTTGATGAAGCACCAGGTGCCTGGGGCCTGGACGACATAGCTCCCAAAGCTGCAGAGAGGCAGCAGAGCAATGGCGAGGGCAGTGCCCCACAGTCCCAGCAAGGAAAGTTTAGTCCGGCCCGGCGTCACCAAGGAAGCATGCAACAAAGGACGAGTGATGCCCACACAGCGCTCCACTGCCATGATGCAGCCCAGGAAGAGCGGGCACAGTCCGAAGAATACCATTGAGGCTCCAAAGAACTGGCAGAGGGATTTGGAAGGGTCCATCTTTTCCCAATTGCTCTGTGTGGCATAAAGACGCAGCACGAAGGAGCCTGGAATGACGTGGCCTGCAAGGTCGGTGATAACCAGGCTGCTAGCGTACAGCAGAAAGGTGGCCTTGGAGCGGCGCCGGAAGCGGGTGTAAGACTGCACCAGGATAGCCAAAGCCACCACATTGGAGACAGCACCCAAGGTCATAGAGAAAATGGGGGCGGCAGGTGAAGATGCCCTTGCAGAGCTCTGGATCTTTGTGGGCTCTGTGCAGCATGAGGTGTGGTTCACAGGTGAAGCCTGTGAAGCATTGGGAGAGTGGATGCCGGACATCATGTCAATGGCTACCTCCAGGTGCAGGCATCTGCAAGGGGAAAAGAGGTGTCAGAAACTAACCTGAGGAGGTCCTTAAAAGGTAAGAAGTCTCTCTAAAAACATTTGTTTAGGGAACCCAGCACATTTCCCTAAAAAATTATCCTTTGCCCTGGATTCTGCTCTGAAGCAGAGGGAAGAAGCATGCCTGAGGAGGTTGAAAGTGCACTTCCTGCCCACCAGAATCTTCCGTTGGGAGCTACAAATCCAGCAGATGAGCATTGCTGCTCCTTCCCAGCTCCTGCAGAATCCAAAGCAAGAAGAAGCCGGTTTTTATCCTGTCCCCTCAGTAATTACTTTTCTGACTATCAAACTGATTCTCCTTAAATCCTCTTTCGTCTTGCCATATAATCTGATGGATTTTCCCTGACTTTCCACCTTCCCATTCCTTGTGTTTCATGTCCTCAAATTTGCAAGGAAATGCTGGACAGAACTATGTGCATTTTAGATACTTTAATTAAATGGTGATGGTGGTGATAAGGAAGGAGCCTGGGGGAGGGAGAGACCTTGAAAGACTTTAGCAACTGAAAGTCAAGGTGCTGCTCCTACAGTGCTGAGGAACTAGAGCACTCTTGGCCTTTTTGTAAAGAAATACACTTGGCTGGTCCTTCCCCTAGCAGTTTTGGATCAGGGATTGTACAGAATGGAGACCCACACATGAGAGAAAATTGGGGAATACTAATTGGGAGAATTATAATACTGTGTCTCATTTTAACTAACATTTTTTGAATTGTCATTTAAAGTTACTGTTTCTCCCACCACATTTTTGCCAGCTAAGAAATATAAATGGAATGCTGGTTAGTTTGTTATATTATCATTTTTCATGTAAACATGTTTAGCTTAATATAACAAACACAAAGCCTGCGACACATTCTTTATCAAGTTTTTGGATTGTACGTCATCACAAAATTAAACAAAAAAGCAAAACATGATGCGGACAAGTTGGGTCTGTTCCTGGGAACTGGCATCTACTCTCTCAACGGTCGTCAGATCTCAAACTTTCTGAAAACAAAACAGAAAAGCCTGTAATTTGTAATAAGGAATCCGGGGTGGAAACCTGGGGACTGCAGGCCAGTTAATTTAATGTCTGCCCTGGGAAAACTGGTAGAAAGTATTATTAAAGTAACCAAGCACATAGAAGAACAAGCCTTGTTGAAGCAGAGCCAGCATGGCTTCTGCAAATGCAAGTCCTGTCTCATAAACCTATTAGAATTCTTTGAGAGTTTCAGCAAGCATATAAATAAAGGTGATCTGGGTGACATAGTGTGTTTGGACTTTCAAAAAGCTATCATCAAAGACTCCTGAGTAAGTTTAGCAGTCATGGCATCAGAAGAGAGTTCCACTTCTTGAACAGGAATTAGTTAAGTAGCATAAAGCAGAGAGTAGGAATAAACAGACAGTTCTTCCACTGGAGGGATGTAGAAAGTGGAGTCCCCCAAGGACCTGTGATTTTTAAACTGGTCATGAACGATCTAGAGGTAGGGGTGAACAGTGAGGTGGCTGATTATATTAAATTGTCCAGAGTAATTAAAAACAAAAAGAGATCATGAAGACCTCCCAAAAGACCTATACAAATGCAGTGAATGGGTGGTAAAATAGCAGATGCAATTCAGTGGAAACAAGCATAAAGTGATGAATGGTGGGACAAAAAAACCTTCATTTCTTGTATACGTTCATGGGGTTTGCAGCATTAGTGACTGTCCAGGAATGACACCTTGGTCTCATAAGTATATAGCTCAATTAAGATGTCAACCCAGTGTGTAGCAGCAGTGAAAATGGCATATTCCATGTTAGGGATCAATAGGAAAGTAAAGGGAAAATGTCAGGGATCAATAGAAAAGGAAAATAAAACTGCTAACATCATAACGTCGTTATACAAATCTATGGTGCGACAGCATTTGGAATGCTGTGTACAGTTCTGATCACTTCACCTCAAAAAGGATATTGTAGAGTTGGAAAAGGTTCACAGAAAGGCAACCAGAGTAATCAAACTCCCCTATGAGGAAAGGTTGTGGTATTTGGGATTTCTTAGTTTAGGGGGAAAGCAAGTAAGAGGTGACATGATAGACATTTTATAACATTACAGTATGCATGGCATGGATGCATAATTTATCCTTGTCTCATAACAGAAGAACTCGTGGACACTCAATAAAGCTGAACATTGGAAGATTCAGGACAGGTAAAAGAAAGTGCTGATTCCTGCAGGAGGCAGTGATGGTCACCAACTTGGAGCATTAAACTATTTAATGGGGGATAAGTCTATAAATGGCTACTAGCCACAATGGAGGATATGCTCTGCCTTCATGTACCATGGATACAGAGGACGGTCAGAGGCATTATGCATCTGAATACTAGTTGCTGGAAACCACAGGAGGGGAGAGTGTTTTGTGCTCAGATGCTGTCTGCTGATTTCTCACAGGCATCTGATTGGTCATTGTGAGAACAGGATGATGGATAAGGTGGGCCAGATTGGCCTGATACAGCAGGGCTCTTCTGATGTTATATAACAGTCTTAAAATGGGGTTTGTCTCTGTGTGTGTATGTAACTGAAAATGAGTTTATCACCTAGCACAGCATTGAGTTGAACTTAATCATAAGTAAGTATGTGTAGGACTGCACATCAACTGCAGACTTCAAGTCTTCAACAGAAGAGCTTTCTCTTTGACTCCCCTCTCACCATTTACATCTAGCCTGAGAAAAAATTACTGGGAACTAGGAAGCTTGCTCACTTTTTGCGATACTTTAGTTGGTTCTAATAAAAGTATTGTGCAGCTGTGGATTTTAGATATTTACTAATAGTTCAACACATGCACCTAACATTTGCATACAGTCTGAAAGAGAAACATGCTTTTCTTATGATGGATGGGGCGTAGCGGTATAAAATAATATACTAGTACCAGAAGCAAGTTTTATTATTAAGCTATAGCCATCATTGCCACTTACAGCAGAGGGGTGTGTGTGTGTTTAAATCAAGAGCTCTCTGTAGTAATCATATGTAGCATAGCTGAATCACTCTGCTTTATTTTTGTTTTATTCCTATTGTCTGGCTCAACTAACCTAGGGCTATATTCAGAACCGGATGATTGAGTGAGTCATAACTTCTAATATGCTATAGCTCCCATTTGTCTCTGTGAATGAGAAACAGCATCCAGAGAGGTACACTTAATGAGCAATTGTTTTGCTTACCCCTCCCTTAACATCCTTTAACTGCCCAGTAGTATTAACAGGAGGGTAATGTTAGTAAAAGGGAGGTAATATATTAATTCTTTCAATAAACATTTGAGGGGCACAATCACTATCAGGGGGAAAATGAGTTCTATTTATTTACTACATTAGAAATAGTTAATTAATGTGGGGCATAAAGTATTAGGGCTGTAAAGTTTGATTAATTGGTTAATCCGTTAGAAGACTATTTCATTGACTAAAAAGCTGTCCTGGATTAATCAAATAGCGGATGTTGATGGGTCCATATTTAGTCATGCTTAGAGCAGACCCCTTGGAATCAAAGGTACTCATATTAGCCACAACTAAAAAGTTCCACTGTTTTCAATAGGTCGATTCTGAACATGACTGAGTTTGACTCCATCCCACCATATCTAATATAAGTTGATAAGTGTCTCTGTAAAAGAGGCATTCAACCTTTTCTTTCAGAAGGCTGGTAGAGAAAGGAGTGCCCCTTCTAAATTGATGACTGTCATCCAAAGTGTGCACATTATCTGAAAACTGAGGATGCATCTTGCTTCAGAAATATTGCTTTTAGCTGTATGCAACTTATGCAAATTTAATCAATCAACTAAGACTCATATAAATAATCATCTGTGATCGTGTACAGTAGTCAATATGTGGTACCAGGATCCTGGTACCCTTTATCTAATGCAAACACTCCGCTTTGGAACACAGAAGAGAATCCAATAGTCCATTCATTTTCATCCCTTCCATGGTGGAGGATGAAGACCTCTTCTGCATTTAGACAGGCCCTCTTCAGAGCCAGCTGCCTCCCAAGGCGCTATTGTCAGACGCAGGAGAGTATGACCACCACCACACCCTTTTGCTCCGAAATCAATTAATTATTGAATACTAACTACCAGCATTCACAACTGTCTACAAGGGTTAGGATCCCCACTCCAAGCCCCCATCAGCAAGCATGCCAAACAGGGGTGAAAATCCCATCCTAAGTGTGACTATAACAGAGCAGTTTAAGCTGTGTTTACCGGGAAATAACAGGCGCTCAGTTACTTTATGTAGGCGCGCCAAGCTGTATTTGCCTCTGGTGCAAGATCCTTATTCACGATCACGCTATTTTCCTTACCTCAAATAATTTACCAGCTACTGCTTGTTACTCCCATAGTCTTGTTACTTCCTACTCCTTACGTCTAAATGTACACACAGAAGAAGTCGATAAGACCCCCACACACCCTGGTGCTGTCTGCAGCCGTTCTGGCTGTCAGTGCACCAGAGTGGTTGCATAGCGCAGCAAATCTGTGTTTAGAGGTGTTGGGAGTGCTACCCCTTAAGAGAGCCCCTTCTCAACACGTCGGAGTCCTCCCGAGATTCGCTTATCTCAAGTCGGGAGGGGACACGTGCAGTCCCAGATTTCTCCCCAGCAGCCCCTGATGGTCTTCAGCCTGCACACCTTCCCCTTGCCCCGACTCATGCTGCTCCCTTCTCTCTCCAGCTCTGCGCCCTCTTCCCGTCCCGTCGAAGTTGGCGGGATTAAGTAAGAGCTTGGAGCTGCGCAGGAGACTCACCTTCTTCAGGGCTGCGCGCTTCCGACGCGTCCGAGTCTCACCTTCGGTTGCGTCCGGCGACACGGAAGAGCCCGGCGCCGATGCTGCGCTGACTTCAGTCCGAAGTACACTTCATTCGCCTCGCTTTTGCCTCGCCCTTCCCCGTTTATAGGACGGGCACCGCCCTCTTCTGCCACTAGGGGACGCTATGAACTACTTCTGCTGCTCCTCCTCCTCCTCGGTCGCCTTCCAAAGAAGGATTTGTTCCGCACGGGCCGCCGCCGCAAAACTCTCCTGCACGAAAAAAAGAGTTATGTTTTGCAGCTCTATACACAAGTTCACGATCATAAGAAACTGACAAATCCTCTATTGCTGATGCAGTATGAGACTCTCAACGTGCATGGAAAAGTTCGGAGGAGAGGAGGGAATCCGCTGTTTAAATACTCTTTAATCCTCATCATTGTGAATAGAACTTCCTGGCTCAGGGAGTCATGATTCCTCTTAAGTATTCTTACATGCACACATCACCCTTCCAGCACCTGTGGGGTGGGGTACCAAAAACTTTCTGCCATGTTTACCTTGGTGCCGACCACACTCACCTGGGACAGTCATCCTGATTTGTGGTCATGATGTTATTGGGCCGGTTAGATGTGGTTGCAATTTCAATACCACTTGCACCTACGAAAGTTTCAAGGCAGACATACTACTTCATTTCTAATGGGTGCATGTACCGTAACTTTCTGCTGAAATTCTGCAGCTTTCTGCAGTGAGTGAGACGGGGTTTGTGCTGCTTGCCCTCCCAGATGGCAATAATGTGGTAACACTGGGGAAGCATCTCAGAACTAATAAAGCAGAATTGATGTGTGGGCAGTCCAGTATAAATCCACCACTATTACTATAGTGGTGACATGCTGCTGAATACGCTCACGAAAAGCACCACCAGTATGGAAGGGCCCCAAGATGGGACCATTGTGAAGAAACTCAACTCCCCTTCCCCTCCTCTCCGACTCTTCCATAGCTGACTCTTCCAATCAATTAGCCTTGTAGGCCTGCTATCAGCCAAAGCACAGCAACACCCATAGTGACTCTACGATGGCCAGCTTCAAACCAGGCAGTCAGAGCACTTCCTTAGATTCAGATGGAAGGTGGTTGTGTGGGCAATGACAGAACAAAGCAACCTGTCTTGGAACCCTGTCTTGGCACCTGAAGACAGCAGTGGCCTTGCTAGGTCTTGCCTTGACCTAGCAAAGTGTCACATTGTTTGGAGCCTAGGGGCTGCATTACACAAAATGATGTTTTCTAAAGAGAAGTTATGGATGTCTCCTGTGATATACATCTTACACGCAGCAAACATTCACAGACATACCGTAATTTTCGCTCCAAAACACGCACTTTTTTGCTCCTAGAAAGTAAGGGAAAATGCCTGTGCGTGTTAAGGAGTGAATGCACTCGACTGGATCCATGGCTGCCGTCAGTCAAGCAAAGCAAGCTTTGCTTGCTTTACAGCCAGGAGGAGGGGGAGGAGCCGAGGAGGGAGGGAGGGAGGGAAGGAGAGCCATGGCAGCAAAGCGGGCAGCAGCCGCTTACACGCGAGGAGGGACAGACGGGAGCCATAGGGAGCCGGAAAAGCGCCGCGTAGCCAGCAACAGCTGCTGCAGCCTCAGCTAGCAACGCTCTCTAAACGGAGCAATGAGGCTGCAGAGGGACGGCAGGGCACAGGAGGGCTCTGAGCCACGAGCGCAGTGAAAACCAGTAAAAAAGTTTTTTAAAAGGCTGCTGGGGACAGGAGGGCACGGGATGAGGGAGAGAGGGAAATTACGATTCTCCCAGCGTCTCAGCTGATCCGCTGAGCAGGACTTGGGTTGCAGGGGATTCGCCATTAGCTGCGTAAAGCAGCAAAGAGGGAGAGAAGGAGCAAAGTGGGAGAGGAAAGGAGCTGCTTACACTGCTGTAAGTGGCTGCTGTCTGGTTGGCTCCTTTAAAGCAACAGTGCTCTTTCCCTCCCCCCTCCCCTCTCAGCTCGCCGAAAAGCTCCTTTTCCACACACCCCACTCGAGCTCCTTCTCCCCTTAAATCCCTCTCCTGCATCATTAGCCACATCCTTCTCCACCCACCCCACGCGTGTTCCTTCTCCCCTTAAATCCCTCTCCTGCATCATTAGCCACATCCTTCTCCACCCACCCCACGCGTGTTCCTTCTCCCCTTTAACCGCTCGCCTGCATCATTAGCCACATCCTTCTCTACACACCCCACGCGTGTTCCTTCTCCCCTTAAATCCCTCTCCTGCATCATTAGCCACATCCTTCTCTACACACCCCACGCGTGTTCCTTCTCCCCTTAAATCCCTCTCCTGCATCATTAGCCACATCCTTCTCCACCCACCCCACGCGTGTTCCTTCTCCCCTTTAACCGCTCGCCTGCATCATTAGCCACATCCTTCTCTACACACCCCACGCATGCTCCTTGTCCCTTGAATGCTTTTCCTTCCCTCCCTACTTAAAACGTGGTTACAAAGCACGGATCCACATGGATCCTCAGGATTTTTGCACTGGGTCACCCCAGGTTCACCATCAGATCACATAAAATGTCCATGGCTACAGCCTGCACCAAAAAAATCACGCACCCACTGTTTCATGGGGCTGAAATGGCGCAAAAACGTGGTTACAAAGCATGGATCCACATGGATCCACAGGATTTTTGCATTGGGCTACCCCAAATTCACCGTCAGATCACGTTTGTGGCCACAGCATGAACCACAAAAATCATACATCCACTGTTTTGTTTAGAATATTTTTTTCTTGCTTTCCTCCTCTAAAAACTATGTGCGTGTTATGGTCAGGTGCGTGTTATAGAGCGAAAAATACGGTATATGTGTTTGTCCCTGAGCGAACTAGATGCTGGATTCCTGCAAGGTCTGACTTCTATGTAGGAAATCTAGTTCATGCACAGAAGCCATAAGAGGGCCCACAGCTGGCCCAAGACAATTTGGCACCTGAGGCAAGACACCAAAGGGTGCTCCTCCCCACCAGGGAAGAAGGGGTGAGTGAAGATCTACACCAGGAACAAAGGAATAATGAATATCTACATCAGGATCTGCTGCCCCCATGGAGCCTCCCACCTGAGAGGGCCCCTGCTGAGGCTTCATTGCCACTTTTTCTTCAGCAAGAAATTAAGAAACCCTCAGAATGTTGAAAGGGGACATTGTGTTCCACGCAGCACTTCTGAGAAGGTTACCCAATGGCTCAGCAGCCTCTAACATGCTGTATGGGAAGAGGGTTGAAAAAGGGTGAGTGGGTTATAAAAGCACACACCAACAAGTTTAGCCTTTGCTTTCTGAGGGGGGGGGTACTACTAGGACCCCCAAGAAAGCAAGAACCACAGAAGAGCCTGTGCACAGAAAGCTGGACTCAGGCTGTGAGATCATGTAAGTGCATTAGAATGGGCAGAGGGAATCTCTTCGTTCCATCCAGCATATTGTGTGTGGCAGGGACACAGTCTGTGCCACCCAGCAAAAATAATAGATTTAACATCCAGAGTTCCTAGTAGGAATTGAGATGCAGACAGGAATTAGCTGAATATCACAGCCAGGAATAGACTCTACCCAACTCTTTGCCCACCAGTGGGAAGTGGTACAGCAAGACAATAGGCAGATACCACACCCTCGTAAGGAAGAAAGGCAGGTGGTGATGGGGACCTTCTTTTTCCATGTGACATCGCCTGGCTAGCTGCCCAACTATGAGTTGCATGTGGAGCAGGAGAGGAAGTCTCTAGCAGCCACGATACCCCAGTGTTTTCTGTTTTGTCTTGTTCCTATTGAGTAGTTAAGAGGATTGCGAGAGCAGGGAGAGAGATCTGATAAGGAGGCAAGGTTAGGGTAAATAAAAACATGAGCATGAGCAGGACAGGAAGGGCCTAGAACAAGTTTCCTGCTCTGGCAATGCTCAGTGCTCACCGGAGGAACTTGGCGACCGCTAACCTGGCATTCTCCGAGACGGCGCTGGTGTTGGCATATGGCTCTCTCATCTACTGGCTGAAACGCCATGACCTTTCTTTGAAGTGCAGCTTCAAGTGTTTACATATCCCAGAATTTCATATCCCAGAAAAGCAGCAGGACTGTTAGGGAGGGTGAAGAGATACGACAGGGAATGGAAGAGAAAACATTTCCTCCCATCTGCACAGCGTAGCTACTAGACAAATTCACGAAGAGTAAAGTTATTAATGGCTACTAGTTGCGACGGCTCTGTACTCCCTCCTCCAGTATCAGAGATTGCATGTCTCCGGATTCCAGCTTCTGGGAAGCAACAGCAGGAGAGGGTGATGGGCACTCACATCCAAATTAGGGGCTTCCCAGAGGCATCTGGCTGTCTGCTGTGGGAAAGGGGATGTTGGACTAGAGGGGCCTTTGGCCTGATCCAGCAGGGCAATTTTTATGTTCTTACAGTCATGCTCTTAGAACAAAATCCACCTTGTGGGCCTCCCTTCCAAGCTCAAAGCAAAGTTGGTGACAAGGTTTTAGGGACGGGCAGGAGATTCAGTTGGAATCCAGAGGAGAAAGGCAATGGGAAGACATTGTCAGGGTGGTCAGGACAAGATGGCTGTTTGCTAGCTTCCTCTACTTAGGAGCATTCAGCACAAACAAAACAAGCCATGAAATACGTATGTCCAAACCACATTATAGATGGAACACAATGCTCCAGCTAGCTCCAAGCCACACTCCTGGTGGAGGGTGTAACTAATGCGGGATAGCCTTCCTGCTTGGGCGTGGGTAGAGATAGCTATGCTGCTGATCACAGTTTTAAATAAATAATTGAGTTTTGTCAATTCTAGCTTTGTGCAGGGTTGGGGACCTTGCAGCCATAAATGAAATAAAAACTTGTAATAAAAAATCTAAGTAGAGTGACACCCTGATCTCACCTCTGCCATTAAGTCACGGCATGGCCTTTGGAAAATCTCTCTCAGTCTCATGACTTATCCTACAGGGTTGCTGTAAGGATTAAAACAACACGTGAATTTATATCACTGTATATGTTTGTGCTATATCTTCCTTTGCCTACATTTCTTCTTTGATGCACTTCTCGCTTTGGCTTTTGTTTCCTTGTGGGGCCTAGTTTAAGCTACTATAGTTTTTGTTTACAAATCTCTTTGTCCTTCCCTTTATCTACAT